GGGGGGCGGAGAGGCTGCTTTTGTCTCTTTGGCAGCCTGTTGCTCAGGGGAGGGGGCAGCCTGTTGCTGGCAGGGGGAGGCACTTTTCCTCTGCCCAGAAGCTCTGCGGGACCCCAGTCGGAGCCGGCCAGAGGAGGAGGAGGATCCTAGGACCCAGGTGAGCGAGCCCGGGAATGCTGCTGCGCATGTGCAGGAGTTGCCTCACCCCGTTCGTATTTAGGGATCCGACGTAAGTCGGATCCATGTAAGTCGGGGACTGCCTGTATTGCTTTCACACCACATAACAAATGATCTTGCAGGCAGAGTGAAGTGAAGAATTTCTGTACTCTGAGAAAATTTGTAAGCCTCAGACTCTATCTGTCTAGAGGGGTAGCTGTGTTAGTTTGTAATTTTAAAAACAGCAAGCCATCCTGTGGCACCTTAAAGACTAACAAATATATATATTTTGTGGGCAAAACTTCTTCAGATGAGATGATCTTGAAATGGGTTTTGCCCATAAAAACTCATCCATATCTGTATCTATAGCTATATCTCAAAACTATACAAAATCCAAGTCTCATCACTTTCATAGTTTCATGAATTTCCCATTAAGTCTGCCAAATTTCCCCTGGTTTTATGCAGAAAATCTATACAAATTTTGCAGCAAAACAAAAAATCAGATTAACTTCACCCCAAAATTTGTCAAACTCTCTGCTTGCTTCTACCAGAATTTCCTTCATGAGTATGTCTGACAGAGAGAGGGTGAATAGGAAAAAAAATGAATTCAGGAGTTTCTCAGGCTGCAGTCACATGTCTTGACTACTGGCTCCAGGTGCATAATACCATCATTCCATAATCTTCTGGTACAACTTTATTTTTTTTCCATAAAGTTAGCTTTAGATGTATTTAAGTAGCTAATATCCAAGCCTAAAATGTCTTGGGCTCGAGAACATTTTCTTTGTTCTGCTGAAGACTCATCTCCACCGAAAAAACATGCCTTTTTCAGCCATTGTAACAGATGGGAGGTTATTCCCACTAGTCCGATTACTCAAGGCCATTGATGTTGCATGCATCCATCCTGTCTCTTACAGATGAATTACATACACACTTTTTTGTGCCCTTTTTATGCTCCTTCTACCTATACCTTCACTCCCATTGGTGAACCTAATTCTGTTCCAGACTAAATGAAACAGCCATGTTATTTACTAATGACCATAGATGAAAGCCATTACTCTTGAAGACATGCTACTTGGAGGGAAACTACATGTGATTTAGCCAAAAATGTGACATGTAATGCCTGCAATTTCTTTTACTGCTTCCATGATAACTTTAGTTATGCATTCACATATGGTAATTTTATAGGAGCTCAATACCAAATTCAGTGAGGTGAATATATTCATATGCTTCTTTATGCTCAGTAGAATGAATGCAAAGTTCTAAAGAGAATTGTATATATTCCTGAGAAAACATTTAATCAAAATGTGTGAAAAAACCAATAGAAATAGCATAAATAATTGAAGCAGTTTGATGGGAGTATTAGACTAGTCTTTGATGTGAGAGAGGCTCTCTGTGAAAATACAGTGCTACTTTTGTGGTAGTGGCTTTTTTCATTTATTACTGAAGCCTATATGGAATTTAATATTTCCCCTTGAAGTACTTCTCAGATTCAAACAATTAAAAATAAATCTTCCAGGCCTAAGGAAAAATCCTACAAATAATAAAATACCTAGTGACATGAATGGGACTGATCTAAGTTTTGCTTGTGAGGAAAGAAAAGGAAAAAAATAAAAACCACCCAGACTTATGAAAGAAAGACAGAGTCAAGGAAAAGGAAGGGAAACCTTGGTGGTAATAGGTCAAATGAGAATTGGGAGGGTTGCCTAAAGTACAATAATTACCTACCCTTCAGTCAAACAAAAGGAATACAATGAAAAACGTGAACACATTATTAAACTGACAAATCAGATTTAGTACAAAAGGTGGGTGAGAAGGAGGGAGGGAGGGGATACCTATTTGAGTCAATGAATAGCTAATCGGGGTGATAAGTGTGAAGCTATCTTTGTAATGCTTAAGATAATTAGCATCTTTGTTAAGGCCCATTCGTAAAGTGTCAAATTTAAGGATGAAAGTTCCGAAGTTTCCCTCTGTAATCTGGTGTTAAAGTCTCTTTGAAGTAAGATGCATGTAGTAAGAATAGCGATAGAGATGCAACCGTATTAGTCTGGTCTAGCTGAAACAAAAGACAGGACTATGCAGTACTTTAAAGACTAACAAGATGGTTTATTAGGTGATGAGCTTTCGAGGGCCAGACCCACTTCCTCAGATCAATTTGTGGAAGAAAATTAGCATGACCATATATACCAAAGTGATACAATCAAAAAAGAGTGAACACATAAAACAGACATCAGGCTCTTACATAGAGAGAAAACTGTTGCTTGCCATTTTAACTAGACTGACGATTCTCTCAATGACCTTAAAACATGCATATTGCTTCAAAGAGATTTTAACTCCAGACTTCACAGAGAAGCTTCAGAACTGTCATTGATACTTAAATTTAACACTTTACGTATGGGCCTTAAAAAAGATGCTCATTATCTCACCCATTACAAAGATAGCTTCCCCAATTAACATCCCTAATATCATTACCTCACAGACAGTAACCTTCCCCCCTCACGCTCCCTGTTCTAAAATCTGATTTGTCAATTTTATATGTGTTCACGGTTTTTTTTTTATTGTATCATTTTGGTATATATGGTTGTGCCAATTTTCTTCCACAAATTGATCTGAGGAAGTGGGTCTGGCCCACGAAAGCTCATCATCTAATAAACCATCTTGTTAGTCTTTAAAGTGCTGCATAGTCCTGTCTTTTGTTTCAATATGTAGTAAGGTCGTTAAGACTGTCCAGGTAGGGTGAAATAAAAAGCAACTGGTCTTTCCTTGTGGAGATGTCTGTTGTCTGATTTGTAGGCATTCATTCTTTGGAGAAGTGTCTGAGAAGTCTGTCCAATATACATA